CCGGCCCCTGGAGGTCTGCGGGAGGAGGCCGAGAACGGCGAGTCCCTTACCCTGGGGGTTGCTTGTGCTGTGCAGGGTACAGGAGAGCGTTTTTAAGCATTTAGAGTTTCAGCCTCCAACTGAAAAGTCTGGAAAGCACTGTGATAGTCATCTCCCAATTTTTGGATCGGTAGACTTCCAGCTTTGCAGGGTTACTCTGAAATCTGTCGGTCCTTCATGCTACAGTTAGATTGGATCTTTAAGTTTGAATAGTCAGTATGACTAGAACAGTAGTTAAGTCTGCTCTTAACTGTTTGCTGAATCAGGGCCTTCTGCCGCATGTCTCCTGTAGAATAATGGAGTATTTTTGTATGTGTCTTGGTTTTTGAAATAGTCTATTTGGATAATTGCACATGAAGCAGCTTTCGATGTGGGTGAATTTTTAAAAGGCGTGAGCTTGAGGCATGTGCCTTCCTTCTGCAAAACTCAAATTGTTGCAGTTTCTGGAAAGACCACTGTCAAGTCTAATGAGTTAACTCTGTTTCCAAGAAATGTGCACTTTTCCCTCCTTCACGCCTACAACAGGTGAAGCCAATTCAGTTATCGTGGTTTAAAACAAAAACGACTTTACTCACACTATCATGAATAATTTCAAGCATTTTAGAGCCTTTGGTTTGTGTTTGTTTCATCTGCACTCTCAATATGCTACACAAAACAGTGATTAAGTGAGTTATTTCAGTTTCGTTTTCAGTTTCACTACTGGAGTCTCAAATAGCCTGGGGTTGTGTTTTGTTTTGTTTTGTTTTTAATCCAGAATCAATTATTTAATTTCATTCTTATTTAGAAGTTTCAGGAAAGCTTTTTTAGTTACTACTTCTTTTTATCATAATTTGGAAATCTGCTTCACAGAGGATACTCATCTGTGCAGGACAGTCTAGGTAAGCAATATAAATATTTAGGCATTCGTATGGATACGTAAGATTTCTGTATCAGTTTTAAGTGAATTTATTATGCACAGGTATTTACAGGATAGGTACTTTAGCTTTGGACAGTATTCTAGGAACTTAAAGACATTTTTCTCAGATGCTATCCTGTCTATATTTAGAAATTGCCTTTCTGTAACATTCCAAACAGGCAAAACCAATACAAATTGAGCTTCTGTGTCATGTTTAGTTCTCCAAACTCCTGGGGTTCATACAGTGAAGAAGCATTAAAAATACTCTAGATTATGAACTGTACCTCATACTGGGAAAGTAATTATAAAGGATCCATAATTCTTGGATGTAAGTCTGCCAAGATTGAGACACTCAAGGTATAAACCTACTCCTTGCTGTTATTAAATTTATCTGTTGTAAAGTACAGCTCCAGAGAAATACTTTGTCACTTTCTGGATTCAAATAAAATAGCAGACATAAATTATGGCATTTTGTGTGCTTATATATAAAATATACTTACATGAAGAGTTTATGCATGCTGGTATAATTTATTTTTATCACTATCTATGAGGCATCCTTTGCGCTGATAAATAGTCTTTGTGTTGTGTTTCCGTTCCCCTAGTTACTGTTATGCTACAATGTGGATGTGATTTCTTCTATTTAAAAAAGTTGCATAGCAAGAATGTGTTATATTTCGGTAATCTTTCAGCTGTGATGAAAGCCATAATTATATATAAAATTAAACTGAATATACTCTTAAGTGTCTTCTAGTACAGGGGCATAAAAGGGACACCACCTTGTCGATTTTCATAACATACACTTCCTTTCAGAGGACTTGTAGTATGTTTCAGCCTCTAAATACTTTGAGTTCTGTCACAAATTTAACATAGTTTTTCGTGAACCTCTTTGTTTCATGATGAGTTGTGACCCTTAGGAGGCAAAAAGGCAGTCAGGAGACTGCTTGGACTTCCCCAAGATTCCTAAATGTTTCAAGAAATTTGGAATAATTTTGGGGAAGGAATGAAATAAGGGGAACACAGGTTAGATGCTTTTTGCCCAACCCGTCTGCTGTAAATCTTCTGAATGAGACAAATGGTTATATTGATGTAAACCTATATGAGAAATAAGATCCTTGTCTTTAATTTTCTTACAAAAATTTTAATGTGTCACATAGTGCTTATCGAAGATGATAAAATGAATTACGTACATATTTCTAGAAGCTATAGAAATCTGCATAAAATTACTTCTTTTGAAAGCGCACAAACAAAATTTTCGGTATTGAATATCTGTAACTACAGTTTTGTAACTTTTTAATGTACCTCCATAGCTGGCTGCATTTTTCAGAATCTGAAGCTTTAGGTATTGCAATAATTTTCACAACAAGGTAGTGTGTGAAAATGTATGTGACTGGTTTTGGAAGTTTTCATCTAAACCTTGCCAATTTTATAGAACAAATATTAATTGATCTATAAATGATGAAAAATTGAACATTAAATTGATCTAATGTAATGTGCTGTGAACTTGCTTTCTATAGCTCACACATACTTGCTTCTAATTAAAGAAGATAGGATATCTTCTGGTAGGAAGATTTGCAAAATATTCCTGAATACTTCACAACTGTGAGTGTAAAATCCTTAAGTGAGGTCTCAGGCACTTACAAGGTTCTTGACTTTGGAAACAATCCAAGTGTTACCTTATAGAACCTGCATTCATATGCTTTGGTGGCTCACACTGGGCTATGTGAAAGCGCTGCTGAGCCCAATCTTATGTGACTTTATCTCCCCCATCTCTTTAAAATAATTGAGACTGATTAAGTTGTCCTTGAGTCCCACCTTGATATATATGAGCTTACCTTCAATAGGGAAGTTCTTGCCCCTGAACTGCCAGTGGAAGTACTTCATTCCGAGTCCTTCTGTATCGTTATTTGAAGTGTTATCTGCACCCTTTTTTCAGCACTTACAATCAATGCGGTTCACCCTTCTTTGGGAGTTTTCTCCTTTTGGATTACCTCCTCTTTCCTTTGAGCTGTTGGATGAAATCTTAGGTTTTTTGTCTGTTATTCTGGTTGCCAGGAAATTAGCACACTGGAAAATAGTGCTTGCATTTAGTAAGCAAAATATGTGAACAGCACCTCTAGACAGCTTGTTATTTAATAGATAAAATTAATTGAAGGACTTTTTTTTTGTAGGAAACTCCAGCTGTAATAGAAAAAACAGCCTTTGTGCTAGTGTATTACAGTTACATCCTGCTTTATTATACATATGCAGCAAGATTTAGTTAACGTAGTTTATAAGTGGTGCTCACTTGACTGTGTAGTATAAACCAGAGGAAAAGGAATAACTAGATTTTAATTTTTGGTGTACTACTGCACTTTTTACACTTATTTATTTATTTTTCAAACCAACACTTTATAGCGTTAAATTTCTACTTGTTTTCCTACAGCAAATCATAACAATAAATGCTCAGAACTTGTACAGTAGATTGCTTTTTCTTAAAATGCTTTAGTCTTTTTCTACAGAAGACTACCATTCTAACCGCTAGTATGTAGTATCATTAAAACTGTTAAACTTACGTGTGCACTTATCTGACGCACACAGTACAGGGTTAGCTAGCTAAAATAAAAAATAAAAAAACAAGCTAGAAATCTTTGATACCTAAATAAATGCTTTTGTTATAGTTGTACTGTTCAATATCTGATCTTGGCATTTTAGCATATTGTGAAAACA